CCACTTTGAGCTATAGTCTAAACTCCTTAAATGGGGTTATCTAGGGGATTATATAGGGGACTACTATAGCGCTTATTTAAGGGGGATACTAGGAGTTGAGACTGTAGCTTGTTTTGCAATTTGTAATGGTTTGAATCTGGTTTCTGAAGTCAATAAAGGGGTCCCGCGGTGGGTGTTCGTGTACAGCTAGCTGATCACACATTCGCACTTGCTGGCATTACTTGTCGCCTTTCTTTTACAACAAGGAAAAGCCAACTCCCGATGGCCATGGTCTGCCCCGCCGCACTAAACCATCTCAACCAGAGCCCCATCTATAAGGAAACGCTCTGGGTCTAGGTCGCAGTTGTCCCCTTTTGGGCCCTTTCTTGTAGATTCTTGTTTGCTTGGTTGGTATCTGAACCATTCATGCTTTCCAGGGCGGTGACTCCAAATGACGACGAAGAGTCTCGAGCTTACTTTTGAACTTGGTCGTGACGTTCCCTTGGGTTGGGTTTAGGGTGAGAAGGTACTGGTCCAAAACAGGTTTTACGGTACATAGTATCATGGAGTGTGGAGGTGTGGGATTTGCGGATCGTTATTACCCCCTTGATGGAGACTCAGATGCACAAGAAAATGGAGAATGACATGGAGACTGTGCTTATCTAGGGGCTTAAACGGAATCCTTATAAACCCCAAACTATTCAAAGGATTTGGCTAACCCCAACCCCCAAAATTTGGACCCTATGATTATCATATGATGGTGATACGGTCCTTATTTTGGCGGATGGAGTTACCAAAATCGCTTTATCAAAATATCCCCTGAAGAGAATGATTTCCCGTATTCTAATTCTAGGGTCCCTCTAGAAGTATGATAGAGTACCTCAATAACGAATTGAAGTCAAATAGTAACCTACATAAAATAACACCACTTGATTTTTTCATACAACCGATTCAGTTAGGGTCAGTTGAAATCGAATTAAAGGCAAGTTTAAACCGGTCAAAATGTCATGGCTATCAAATTGAGATTAAGTTGGGACCAAAGTAAAAAGCAATTAAAATTGAGTTCCAACCGTAGCCTCAACAAACAACACAATTTCATCTAAAAGCAATTAGCCTCGCAATTTGGT